AGAAAAAGCGTTATGACTGTAAACAGCATGTTGTTTGAATTCAATTCACGTCATGAATTGCAGACCAGAACCACCTCCGACCCAGTGCAGCTGGCACCGAACCGCTGCCACTAGTCCCCACCTTGCCCGACCGGCGGCACCCGACTAATGCGGGCCCGTTCGGGCGGGTGGAGGGACCAGCGAGGCTCGGCCGGTAAACAGACTCCTGCGTCTTGGCATGTTCTGGAAGCAGAACGTCAGAGAACCTTACATCAGGTGTAACAGTGCAAGAAAGATTTTGTCGTGTCTCGTCCATCTCTCATTAAGTTCAGAGCAACTCGCGTTTTTACCTTCTGAGTCGACGTATGAGCCCGGTACAGATCCTTAATTAATCTCACACTCAAGGACCGTCCGTAGCTCAACTTAACTTTATGACACAGGGTAAAACAAGGAATTGTTGATAGAGAAATGAATACACACAACTTCACAAGATGGAAGAAAAAGGCATGGATCCGAGCAACGGAGGCTGTGAAAGCCGACCCTTACCGGTCCAAAACAAAAATAAAAAAATAATAAACCCTACGCTGCCGTGTTATCAGACGGACAAACGTAGCAAAATGTAGATTCTACACACCGTAGTGAATTACAAGAATCACCGCCAATGCGGGTTTTGTGAGGACACAGACTGACTGTGTCAGAAATGGTATGACAATTTAACGGGACGCGTTCCCTTTTTGTCCAACTGTGGCTCGCTAGCTTAGCTCTCCGGCTAGGTCTAGCGTCCTTTGTCTGTAGCGACCAGACTTAAATTTTCCCGATTAACAAGCAGGCATCTCGCTCCGCTTGTAAAAATGGACTTTTAAAGCGTACGCAATCTGAATGCAGTAACGCGTGACGGCCATAACCCGACTTACAGCGTTTACCGAGCAATTTAAGCTACGGTAGGTGCCTACGGGCATTCCGTTTAGATTCGGCTGTGATCAGTCGCCTATGCAATGGAAATATTTTCCACAATAGCTCGCCCACAGTGTCAACACACTGAGACGAAGGGTGTCCGAGAATTTAGTTTCGGTACGGAGGTTTGGAAGAATTTTAGTTTTAATGTTAGGACTGAGGATAAGCTGCTCACGGTAGCTCACCCAGCAAGGTTTCAGAGCGGAAATGTAGCTTTCCGACCTGAAGAGATTAGAGACGCGGCGGCGCGTCAAAATGGACAGAATCTAGTCAAAAGCACAACTCACACGTTCGCTCCGAAGGCGAAGATGGGATGAATCAAAGTATTGTCTGTAATTTGCGGTCAATTTGAGATCGGAGTTCTTCACCGTCAAGTTCCCACCAGGACGTCTCCCGGAAGAGTGACTTCAGCGGAATAATTTCCGTTTTTTTTTTTTTCAAAATAAGACATCAAAGTGAAACACATAGAAAAGGCTAAAATTGTGAAAAATCAGCTTGTAGATGTTAGAAATCAGATATATCGCAGATATAGAAGTCTGGATACGCTCGCCATTAATTCGGAATATTAATTTTTAATATTCAATAACCAAGTTTTATATTGTTCAGAAGACTCAAAGGTTGTTTTCATCGATAAACTGACGATAATATCTGAGTGTCTGTGTTTCAGTTCAATGAGGAAACCAGTTTGACAATTAAAATTTTTAATTCTTCAAATTAAACTAATGATTTTGAAAATTGACAAACAGGAAATAACAATCACATTGGCAACTTGTGGGACAATATTTAACAGTTGATATGTTGTTCTTGCTCAAATAGACCTTCTGGTGAATTTATGAAGATTGAGAATGTTGTGAGTTGTGAGAGTGATATGATGTGATTATGGATGCGTGTGGGTGCAAGGTGTGGTGAGATGAGGTGAGATGGATGCGTGTGTGCATCTGATTTTGCTACAGGAAGAAACAGGTGTCTGAGTGAAAAGTGATGGTTTGAATAAACTTAGGTTTAGTTGGAAAAGATGCATCAAAACGCTAAACACCGTGCTGTCTCACCAAACTCTTGTGGACCCTCTTTCGGATCCGGCCCGTGGAGGATGTTGTGGTTCATCCAGATGACACCGGCGGCTGACAGGAGACGTAGGTGTCGAACGGAACCGGTCCAGAGTTGTCCTCGGTACACGTTGATGGTAAAGCGTTTTGTCGACGCGCTTTCTTAAGTTAATTCACTCAGAAATCAAAAGACTCGGTAAAGAGTCTGCGTTAGAAGTTGCGATTCAGCTATTCTGCCTGGCTGACAGAAACAGCGTGAGAGAGGGGGGGGGGGGGGGGGGGGATTGAGCCCATGGGCTCCGTTCCCCGTTAGCGGTTGTTCACACGTCCTCCCTCTTTCGTTGTCAAGCACGAACTCAAATCATAAGACTGAAACTTACCAAAAACCTTTCTCTTCTCAAAGCAAACGTGTGCGTCATCAAATGTGTCTGGAGTTTACTGTGGGAAGATGTGTGTGGATGTGTGAATGTTTGTGTGCTCGAGTGTGTGTGAAGGTCAGTACCAAACATTCTCAACACTATCTAATTATGGATTCATTAAGCCATTATAATTACCCCCAAAGCATAATAGTCATTCATTTGATTAAACACATTTATAATGAGCAAAATGATAATGGTTACTTTAACATTAAAATCAAGAAAAAGAAGTTTAAACTTTATGTTTTGACTTGGTCTGGGTACAACTCATGGAAACACATCTTCTGGTAGACTGCAGGTGGCTGATGTTATGGTTTCTCCCAGACTCGCTGGCGTTCAGGTCTTAATCTGTGGGTGAAAGTTCTCAATGACCCAGCTTTGACCTAGCTGAGTCCAACACCACCTTTGTGACAGAAAACCCATATTTCCTCACGTTACACTAGTGTTAGCAATTTGTCTGTCACCTGCAGACTCGATTATTTAACTCTCCCTAAACAAACAAAGCATAAGATGGTATCATTTTAATGTCTGACATTGAAGGTATTTTGGTTTTTATTGTAGAAGGTTCTTTAATTAATCACTGCCTGTGTTCATAAGAGGGAATAATGTCAGTTTTTCAGTTGCAGACATGCTGTTTTTTTATTGATTGACAATATGTAGAGTTTATCAAAACCCTTGAAAATCTGTTGATGTTTCCTGCTGACTATATTTGGAGTTCAGAGTGGCTGGAAGGTGTTGATTTTAGATAATTTTGTAAATTTGTTTTCCACTGAAACAGGAAAATCAACAGGAGGATAAAAACCTGAGTTTTTCAATTAAAAAGTCTGAGGAGTCTCTGCAGTGGTGGTGGGGAACCTTTAATCATAAGTTCTGTCAGTTTGAGCAGGATAAGCTTGTTTTCTGTCTTCTCTAAAAATTCCAGTGGCCTTTTGCAGCGTCGTACCTGAGCAGATGTTGAATTAGTTAATAAAATATAAAACTATAAAGAGAATTCTTAAAATACTCTTGAGGCCAAGTTTTTTACTGTTTAATGGAACAGTTATTAGTCCTGCAAAGCCAAATCTATAAATAACAGCTAAAGCGCTCCCAGGTTGAAACACCTACACCTTAAAATGAAAACATCAATGTCTTCATTCCCTCTGGAGCGTTTCTCCCTCTGAGGCGGGAACGAGGAGCGCTGCTGTCACTGATCCTGGTTTTATGTGTGACTCTCCCTCCTCTGGGTCAGACTCTGGGGTTAAGCTGCAGCTCCCATCAACAGGACGTTCATTATAATTATTTAATGGCTGAACACATGTTTATTGTGTCCCTTTATGAGTAAGTGCTGCATTAGCCCCATCTAGTGGTGGAAACCAGAGGATGCAAGAGTCGATTCACTCATCAGGTAAAGAGAAATATAATGCAACAGATAATTGAAAATTTCATTTTTTGTGACAAAATTAACATTTTAGTTGTTTTTGCTCAAACTGACAATTTACAAATTATTCTCTCTGAATATGAATCAGGTTTAATAGAAAGACCCCAATCTTCAGAATTGATTATTAGATTAGGGGACCATAAATTAGGTGTGAAATGAAGAAAGACGTCTCTTGGAGTATGTCCCTGTGTTCGCATGCTGTACGTGCACACTCCTTAACGAAAATAACAGCTGAGACGTCCCTTGTGTGTGTGTGTGTGTGTCCCGGAGGACAGAGGACAGGAGAACGTGTAGCTAATTAATTAAATAATGTGGTTCTGTACCTTTCTCTTCAGCACAGCCGACAAAGGTTTATGATGGGTCAGTCCTCCTGCATGCTCAGATCATTCCCTTCCCTTGCTTGAAAAATTGTTCCAAAATGAAAGTTGAACCCACATCTTTTTTATCTGTGAATTCAATGCCGTTCGGCAAGTCTCAAATAAAAATTTGGGCATCTTACTGTAAAAAAATATACCATTAATGTAAAAAAAGAAACCCTAAAACAACTATGTTCACATCCAGAATCGAACCCAGGTCTTCTGCACCAAAGCCCAAAGTCTTAGGCAAGCTCAAGCGCCAGTGACGTTTTCTGTATCTGTAACATTTATATCCTTGATGACAGCTGAAACACTGTTCAAAGAACGGTTCGGAGGGCTATGCCTGAGCGTGAACGTCCATGAAGCAGCCTGCTCGACCCGAGCATCTCTCTTTTTCTGTGATTTTACAGAAAAACAGGCCATCACAGTAAAAATGCCAGGGCTCATTCTACAGGACCAGGGCATTGCAGGAGAATGTATGAAGAAGACATTTATTATTTCTATACATGTTTTGGCTGTCACACTTCCATTATGCCCCTTTAAGAAAAATTATTAACAATAAAATAAAATGAGCACTCACCACCTGCAGTTGTCATATTGTTTACTAAGCAGAGATAAATCAGGAAAAGTTTACCATTAAGCAGATTTCTGAGAAAAACAGTCATCGAAATAATACAATTATAAATATTTAATATGTTCTTTTAATCAGTGATGTAGAATCGTGTGTGTGTCCGTGTGTGTGTCCGTGTGTGTGTCCGTGTGTGTGTCTGTGTGTGTGCGTGTGTCCGTGTGTGTGTGTGTGTGTGTGTGTGTGTGTGTGTGTGTGTGTGTGTGTAAAAGGGGCGGGGTTTCCTTCCCAGCTTGAATAGTGATGGACAGAAGAGTTCGGATGGAGTGAGGTACAGATCTTTTACAACTTGTGGATGAAAACTAGACCCAGAAGATCATCATCAGGTGTTTGAGTCATGCGCGCGTGCTCGGATTGCCTGTTCTGTGTGTTGGTTCTGATCCGGTTCTGGGAAACGAGCGGAGAGTCTACTGGGACTCTGGGACTCCTCCTGCATGCTGATGACAGGAACTTTTCAGACCAGGACCGAATGAAACAACAACCCTCTGAGCCACAGCACCAGTCTCTGCCAGGTCTGTACACACATGGACGAGTGTTTTATTCTGTTTTTCATTTATTTCTGCAGCACAAAATAAAAAAGCATAAATCTGTCAGATTATGTCTCATTTGGAGGATTTGAACACAGATCTAATCTATGAGTAATAAATGAGACGTTTTAAAGATCTTAATGGAGATAAAATGATCCATGGAGGGCACCTGTTTGTTCTTCAGCACTGTCATCCTGTTCAGCTTGTATTTATTTATTTATTTATTTATTCATCCACATTTGAGTAAAAACTGAAGCTTTTTTCCTCCTAGAGCTGCCCCCCCTGTGAACTTTTCCTCTCACGCTCTAGAGCTGAGCTGAGGAGCTGAAAGATGAATTCCACAGATTCATGACTAATTCATGTGGATGTAGGAGTGCTTTGCCATCACATGACCCAGTCTGTGGAAGACAAACTTGGACATGTTGTTGTCTCTGGTACAAACACCCTCCTCCTCTTCCCGTCCTCCCACCACTCTGATGGCTTTCTGCTGAGTGCTGCCAGTTCTCCTCCTCAGTAAAACCTCAGCATCCACGCTCAGCAGCTAAGGACATTTGAAAGAAAGTCAGGAAAACAGACGGGATTAATGATTTTATTCCTGTGTTGCTCAGATTGACCCAGAGTCCACCTTCCCGTCGCTCTTTTCATCATCTGAGCATGTTCTTGTGATTTCCTCCTCCCTCTGTGGCCTAATTCCAGCACACATGCAGGCTAGACAAGCGTCATTATAGATAAATCCCTGTTGGACCATCTGTTTGTGCTGTCTGGTGGTCAGGCCGACCAGTCAACATGTTTATGCTCCTTCCTGTTTGCTGTCATTTAATCAGCTTTGAGAAATAATAGAAGCTGCATCTGATGATGCTTTTAGCCACAACGTGTTGTTTTGTCATAATGCTTCGTTCTGTTATTTATTCTCTCATTTTCCTTTATTTTATCTTTATTTTTATGTCCACTTCATGTGTCGCCCCACTAAGATTATAGTAATCTGGAACAAAGCATCTCCAGATTTAGTGACCTCTCTTTTGTAGAGGAAGGCCTCTTCCTGTCCATCTGGTGCTGACATCATCCAAAATGCACAGAGGCTGAAAATGGAAGCAATGGCAAGAAAAGCGTGTTTGGGGTGATAATATGGGTGGATCTGCTTGTCCAGCTTTGGCCTTAAGCAGGGCTTTATGAGGGCTTTTTAATATTTTGGCAGCTCCTTTAGCAGCAGGATTAGGAGCGCTTCACGCAGCAGCAGCAATCCAGCCTTTGCTACAGTCAGGGTTCTTTTGTTACCACTTTTAGAAAGATGCTTATGGTTTTATGGCGAGGGAGATTGCTGCTATAGCAGCGGTTCAGCACTTCATTTCAGGGGGAAAAAATTGCAGCGAGTGCTTCTTCATGGCCTCTTTGGAGAAAATCACAGATGATGAGCTTGCTGCTGAGACTTAGAGCTCCAGCAACTTTAGTTCCAGTCCAGGCAGCACAGGAGCAGCTGAACAGTCGTTCTGATAATAGCAGAGCTGGAGGGTCCAACAGTATTTCACTTTATTTCTTAAAAAATATCCAGTTTAACCTAATTATTCATGATTCACTGAGCAAAAAAGTTTGCTGCACAGTTCAATTTGCAGATAATGTTTAGGAAATAAAGTTCACATTGAAACATCAGGAATTTTTAAAGGGATAATGTGTAGTTTTTACCATTAATCTCAGGAAATATCCATGGAAATGTTGTTAAAAATTAAGTAAATGATCTCCAGTTGTTGAAAAATGTTGGCGGCTTCGTAACATATGACCAAGAAAATCTGGTCTATAATACATGGGAGTGGGTCTAAGTCTCTGGGCGACCCCATGCTAGATGCTATGTTTCCTTCTAAGGGAGCCTATGAGGACAAAATGCATTTACTGATTGGTAACAAACAGTTACAAAACTTTCATCATTAATAAACGTTGTTTTACACATTTACCTCTTCCCTTGCTGCCACTGATGAAAGGGAGTCTTATGTGCTTGTCATTTTGCTAAAGTTTGCAGTCCCCAGGGTTTTTTGACCCTAATGGGCACCCGTTGGTAAGGTCTTACCCCAACACAAAAATGCTGCTTGTTTGCAACGATTTAGGTATCTAATGTCCCCAACACCAGGAAAAATATGCACTGTCACCTTAAAAGTCTCATTTGCTGAAAAATTGTGTAATAATTCTTTTGAAATACAATTTGCATATGCATGCTGAATGTGTAAACTTTCTTCAACCCCCATCAACACAGAAAGAAAATGGACAGGAAACCAATTGGGTCAGAAAATGCCAGCCTCTTTTTTGTCACAAGGAAAATTAGTATTCATGGCCTGGCCCTTTTGGCTTGGGACTGCCCACAGGAAAAATGAGTTGAGGACATCTTGGCTAGTAGAAGCTAACCATTGTAACACCACAACATAGAGAAAGCGTTCAGGTTTGTGTTTTTTGTGGAGATTAAAGCTGTAACAGCAAATCAGCAAAAGAAGCTAACTTTTAAACAAAAACACGCTCATGGAACTCTCACCCCTCCCGTTGGCTATCATCCCCAGGCCACATCCACCGGATACCTGAACCCGCACTGCTAGAAGAAACGAGAGAGCGCTAAACACCAGCCACCATTTTCTAGGTCCAAACTACTTTTGTTGTCTGTGATTTCACATGGTGTTTTGTTTTTGTGACTCTGGTAGTTTGTCCTAAAGTTGAAGTTGTTCTAATTCAATATGCACGAGCGCATGAAAAGGAGCGGACCAAGGTAAATGTGGAAGTGCGGCGGTTTGGTGAGACTGACAAACCAATCATTGAATGTTGTCCAAGCTGGGCTATTAGCTGAGGTTTGTAGACAGATGTGTAAATGTGTGCATGTGTGAGCATGAGGGAGGGAGTGTGTGACTGTGCTTGTGTATGACTATATATGTCAGGTGGGGCCTTTGACTCCTCCCCTCTCCTGGAATTTCTCTTGATGATATAGATCTTCGTCCCCCCTCCCCCGCCACACCTGGTGTGAGGGGTTGTGCCTTGGTCTGCCTGAGTGTTCGTGGCAACCGGGTCTGGGGGTTTAAGATTTTGGCATCTGCCTGATAGATCCCGGTGGCTGCCTGGTGGGGTCTGGGTCCCTGGGCTCTGCTGGGTCCCCGGCGGGGGTGGTCGCCCCTGGGTCCCAGGTCGCTGGGTCCCGGGCTCGGCCGGCTAGGGGGTGGGAGGCTGCGGGTGGGCCTGTGGGCTTGCCGCTGATGTCTCCCGGGACTCTGCCGGCTGCTGGTTGTGGCCCCCCGGGGCGATCCTCTGTGCCTCTCGAGGGGGGCGGGGGCCTTTCTGGTTGCAGCCTCCTTGGGGTTCCTGCGTTCTGGGGCAGCGCCTGGATCTCTGGGACTTGGAGCTCCCCCCCGTCTCCTGCGCATCTTTGGGGGGCGGATCTGTGGTCTCTCACACTCTCTGTTGGACGCTCCTATAGAGAAACCTTAAATAAACAAGCGCGTGTACACACACAGGTGCTCACATGGTGCTCTCAAAAGTATGGGCTTGGGTACGTTAAATACAGGTGTTAAGACTATGGTGGGCACTTAATGCACTGTGATTTATTATCGTGATTCTTCACTTAAGCAATATTGATTATATATTTTTTCATCAAGTTGACGCAGTGATAGCTAGATCTTGTTGTATTGTTGTTGTGTCCCTTTTTTTTGTCCTTTTGCTTTTTTAGTTTTTTTCTGCAGGTCTAGAAGCAGACTCTTGTTCATTGTTTATTTTTGTGCCCCCCTCCCTCTCCCCACCTTTTCTCTTCCTTTCTCTTTCACCTCTGTCTCCGTGTCTGGTCAGAATTACAAAGCATTCAACAACAATAGCAATAAAGTTTTAAGTATCAGGCGTGACATTAAGAGCAGACGCTTTGATGCTCCACCTGAGAATAAATCTGTAAGGCTTGTCACCAGCATTCAGACATCAATTCTGCTTGCTTCACAGCCAGACAGGACACGGTAAAAAAAAAAAAGATGTGTAAAAACCACTTCATTATTTTTGTTTTAAAATCTCCAAAATGTTTTTATAGCTCTAATATCTTAGAAAGATAGCATGTTTTGCAGATGCCCTGCGATGGACTGGCAATCTGTCCAGGATGTACCCTGTCTATTTGCCTGTTGGCTGCTGGAGATAGGCCCCAGCCCCATGACCATGTATGGATAAGCGGGTTCAGAAAGTGGATGGATGTGTAATGTCCAGCATGGTCAGTTTTTCAATCAATCAATCAATCAAAGCTTTATTTATAGAGCGCCTTCCGCAACCCTGTCAGGAAGTCCAAAGCGCTGAACATGGTACAGTTGTAGGTAAATATATTGAACAAATCAACAATAAAAGCAATTCAAATTACAAAATACAAATTACAAAATAGATGAAACATTCTGGTACAGGACAAATGTGTAAAACAATGGATTGAGTGAACCAATGAAAACTGAAATAAATTCAACATAATAGAGGGCCAAAATCAAACATGTTCTGGAAACACCAAGCGGAGGAGGTGTGTTTTTAGGTGACTCTTAAAGACTGGCAGAGAAGGGGACAGCCTAACTGAGGGTGGCAACTGGTTCCAGAGCGACGGTGCTAGGACTGAGAAAGCCCGGTTCCCATAGGTACGACACCTAGAACGAGGGACAGCGAGCAGGCCTTGGTCAGAGGAGTGCAGAGCGCGTGATGGGGAGTGTCTGTTCAGGAGTGTGGGGGAACCACCACCCTGGAAGAAATGATAAACAAAGACGAGGATTTTGAATTGTGAGCGATAGCAAACCGGAAGCCAGTGCAGGGAGGCCAGAACCGGACTGATGTGGTCCCGTTTCCTGGTCCCAGTCAGGAACCTGGCTGCGCTGTTCTGCACAACCTGTAGGCGACGCAGTGATGACTGACACAACCCTGCATATAGAGAGTTGCAGTAGTCAAGCCTAGAAATTACAAAGGCATGCAGTACCCGCTCCAGGTGGGCTCTCGACAACATATACTTGATTTTT